AAAGTTGCAGTGTTGTAGTCATGCAAAATACAAGGGCCAGGCTGAGATCTGGTGATTAAGGGGCTGGATCCACATGGCCAACAGCACAGTTCGAATGGCAGACCCATTGGCTTGAAAAATATACTAGACACATATGTGCATACCTGAAATCCTGAAAGAAAGATTTTACACACACACACACACACACACACACACACACACATATATATATATATATATAGAGAGAGAGAGAGAGAGAGAGAGCAGTATTTTCCTTCATAAAATTCAAAATTAAATTGGAGTAATAAAACTAAACTCATAAAAGTTAAGTACAGAGTGAGATAATACCGAAGGTGTAAAATGTTAGTATGTGATTAATTGCCATATGAGGATCATAGCAAATAACCATTTTGAGTTATTTGAAGGAAACTGTCACTGTAGAATTTTAATTATTATTTTTTTAATACCACAATTGGTTCCACAAAATACTTGAAACTGTCGATAACACTTTTGTGAAAATGTAAGTACATATTACAGTTAGGTAATAGTACAAGAAAAGGTGAGAAAATGTGGTGGAAATATATACACAAAACTTAAGGAACAGATACAATAGCTTGTCTGTGAAAGGGCTTCATGTTAAGTAATGGACTTTTTTGTTGTTGTTTTGTTTTACTCTTGGGTATGTGTGCTCAACAGAGAGAGACTGAGAGAAAGAGAGAAAGAGTGAGAACTCAACCCCCAGAGGGAATGACTATTCCTCAATCCCTTCTCCTCCATTTTCCTTTTGGAATTTTGGGCATGTATGCACATGTGTCCAATGTGACTTTTAATCTGCTGGGCCCAGGGCTTGAACCATTTAGTTAACTCTGTGAGATCTAGCCCCCTTAACCTCTACTCCACATGCTGGCCAAGTAGTGAACATTATTGTGTGCTTGAGTGTCATTTTCTCTCTGACTGAGAGGCTAACTTCTGTGAGGACATCAGCAGCTCTTCTGTCTTCTAGTTTTCAGAGAAATTTGGCTAATGGGTTACACTAGGGGAAGACTGAGGTCAGGACTTTTATTTTCTTGAGTTACTACTTAGAACTGGCTGTGCCTCTATTTTACTTATTTTTTTATTTTTTTTATTTATATTCAAGTTTATGTATTTCTTTCATAGCATGAGAAAAAGAGAGAGTGCACTCTCAGAAGTCTTGATGATGCCATCTACCCCCAGCTTCAGCCAGCCCCAGGTCATAGGCACTCATGTACACAGTATACTTAGGGAGATCTCTGAATGTGAACCTGGGACCTTCACACACAGGTCAGCCTCACAAGACATCAAAATTTACCATTGTGGGGACCAGCAGTTAGTGTAATGACTATTTCACTGGACTCCCACATAGTCGACCGCGGTTCGCGTCCCAGACCCGGTGGCTTAAACTCACGCCAGGCGCATGTGCATGCGTGCCCAAGATCCAGAGAGGAGAATGGAGGAGAAGGGATTGCGGCGTGGCCACCCCCCTGGGGGGTGATTTCTCGCTTTCTATCTCTCTGTCTGTCTCTGTCTGTCTGGCAAGTGCACACGCTCTATAGCAAAAACCTCTCCAAAAAGAGAGAGAGAGAAAAAATTACCATTGTGCTTCTGACCAGCTCTGAATTGCCCTTATTTTAAACCTCCTCAAATTATTCCAATTTGAATGTGCTTTGTTACCTTTTTGGATTCTTTATATTTTCTTTTTTCTTTCATTATTTTCAGACTATCATTCATACCTTAAGTCGCTATACATCATTTTGATTGTGAAAATACTTTTCCCAGTATGATATTCATGTCAGTCCAGTCCAGTAGAGACCACCATACACATCCTCGTCAACAGATAATAAATCTTATCTGTGTCCCACAAGTTTCTTACCTCTCCATTTCCCCCCAAATTTCCTACACTCTTCCCCTCCACACTCTCTTTACACTTTGTCTCTAGTGTCCATTACAATTTTCAATACTTTTACGTTCTCCTGTCTTTCAGTCTTTACCATACAGTGCAGACAGTGAGTATATGTTAAGTGGAGACACACAATATCTCTCTTTCATAGCCTGACTTGCTTCACGCAGCAACAAACCTTCCATATTCATCCACTTTCTATCAAATTCCAGGGCATTGTTGTTTTTTTATGGCTGAATAGTATTCCATGGAGTATATGTGCCACAATTTTTCAGTCCATTCATGTGTTTGTGGACATTTGGGTCAGTTCCATGTCTTAGCAATTGTGAATAATGCTGCAATGAAAATAGTTGTGCAAGCACTTTTCTGATCGAGTGCTCTCCTGTCCTTTCGGTAGATATGTAGGAGTGGAATTGCTTGATCATATGGTAGTTCTATTTGAAGGTCTTTGCGGAACCTCCATATCATTCTCCACAGTGGCTGAACCAATTTACATTCCCACCAACAGTGTAGGAGTGTTCCCCTTTCACCACATCCCCTCCAGCACTTATCATTATTTATTTTTTTAATCTTTGCCATTCTGACTGGGATTAGGTGGTATCTCATTGTGGTTTTGATCTGCGTCTCCCTTACGATGAACATTTTTTTCATATGTTTTTTGGCTGTTTGTATGTCTTCCTTAGAGAGTTGTTTATTGAGCTCATTTTCCCATCTTTTAATTGGGTTAATCATTTTCTTCTGGGTAAGCTGCTTGATTTCCCTGTGTATTCTAGTAATCAATCCCTTTTCTGAGGCACGGTTAACAAAATTCTCTCCCATTCCAAGGCTTGTCGATTCACACTAATTATGGTGTCCTTTGCTGTGCAGAAACTCCTTAACATGATGTTATCCCATCTGTCTATTTGGGGGATTGTTGCCGGTGCTTTGGGGGTCTTGCTTAAGAAGTCTTTGCCTACTCCAATGTTTCCCAGAGTTTCCCACCAGTATTTTTATAGTTCACAGTCTTGGGTTTAGATCTTTGATCCACTTTGAGTTGATTTTTGTTAATGGTGACAGATAGGGGTTCAGATTCATCTTTCTCCAGGTGAATATCAGTTTTTCCAGTGCTATTTACTAAAGAGATTTTCCTTTTCCCACTGGATTGACTGGTACCCTTTGTCAAAGATGAGTTGGTTGTATGTTTTGAGGTTGATTTCTGTCTACTCTGTTCCATTGGTCCTCATGTCTATTTTTGTGCCAGGTACCATGCTGTTTTGTTTATCACATCTTTGTAATACATTTTGGGGTCAAGAAGTGAGATGCCACCGACTCTAGTCTTCTTGCACAGGATGTCTTTCATGGTTTCAGAAAATGGGCTCTTTTATGGTTTCAGAAAAATTCTATGATTGTCTTTTCTACCTCTGTAAAGAATGTCTCTTGTAATTTTATAGGGATTGCATTAAACATGTAGATTAATTTGGGTAGGATTGCCATTTTTATTATATTGATTCTGCCAATCCAGGAACATGGGATGTCCTTCCACTTTTTAGTGTACTTTACTTTTTCTTGTTAAGGTTTTCATAGTTTTCCTTGTAGAGGTTTTTGACTTCCTTGGTTAGTTTTATTCCTAAATATCTTATACTTCTTGTGGCTATGGTAAATGGAATTACATGCTTCAGTTCTGTCTCTGCTTGCTTATTGTTTGTATATAGAAATGCTATAGATTTTTGTAAGTTAATTTTGGGACTCATATGATTGTGGACTTGTTCAGCGCTAGATTGGAATGCTAGGCTTAATAATGTTATGGTAACTGTTATTACCTTAAGATGTTTTAGGTGTCATTATCTCTCCAGTAACTTTCTTTTTTTTTTCTTTTTTTGGAGAGATTTTCACTGTAGGGCGCGTGCACTCGCCAGACAGACAGAGAGAGACATAGAGACAGAAAGTGAGAAATCACTTCCCAGGGGGGATGGTCACGCTGCAATCCCTTCTCCTCCATTCTCTTCTCGGGATCTTGGGCACGCACGCACACGCGCCCGGCGTGAGTTTTAAGCCACCGGGTCCGGGACGTGAACCGCAGTCGACTACGTGGGAGTCCAGCGACATAGCCATTACGCTAACTGCTGGTTCCCTCCAGTAACTTTCTATGAGGAGGGGTTAAATAGAGGAGAATTTAGGAAACAAATAAACAAACCTAAAAGCCCATGTCATATACTTTACAGCTAGTATGAGAAAGAGTACATACATCATCTTGAGGATAAGAGAAACAATTTCAAAGTCCACGGTTCTGAAATGTTGAGTTGCATCAGCCTTTACCATTCACTTATAAATGGTAGACATGCAGGTTGGGGTTGCTCCCTCTTTGCTTAGGGTAAATCATCTATAACTTTTGCCCCTTTTCTTCCTGTTGCTAATCTGCTGGTCACTATCCTTATATGATAGGATTAAAAAAAGAATAAATGAATGAGTTTTTTAGCTTTAGCATCTGTGATAAAAGGTTTATCAGAAAGGAGACTGAAATCCTGAACTAAAATGAAGATTTTCTGTTTATCTAGGCTGGTCTGCCCGTATTGCCATAAAAAGATTGAGAGCTTGTTAAAAGTCAAGAGATTAAAAAAAGGCAAAAAATAAGAGTCTCATATTCATAGTAATGAATAGAACCAGGTTTAATAACTGAATATTATACTTATAATATAAAGCCCTGATGTGAAGACCCTTTTTCTTTGGATGTTTGCCGGTGTTACAACATTGCTTACAGTGTTCACTTTGATCATTATTGACTCATATGAGCCTAAACCTGTGACCCAGAAAAAAAATGGATAATAAATTCCAGCAGTAGAAGACATGTTTGTAGTTTGCCCTTGGAAAGATGAGCTAAAGGTGCTGAAGAAACCATAAATTCAATTTACAATAATAAAAAAAAAATAAAATTGTTTATACTTTGCTCAGTGGATGAAGTAAAAATCTAATATTTTTCCTAGTACATGCTGTACATTTTGCCAAACTTCACTAAATTCCTGTTTAGAAGGTAGAAAAATACTTTATATAAAGCTTTTGATTTCACTTGTGTTTTTCACCGTTGAATTCCTTTTCAAAAGCTCTTTCTCCTTTTCTTTCTTTTCAGGTTCTATTTATGAAATGTTTGGAAATGAATGCTGTTTATCAACGGGAGAAGTGATTAAAATTACTGGATTAAAAATTAAGAAGATCATAGCTCAAATTTGTGAGCCCATTGAAGGTTGTGAGTCTCCCCAACCTTTTGAACTGCCTATGAATTTTCCAGGTACATTGCAACCACTTCTCATTTGCGAAACTGTGTTGTTAATACTCGTATACACTGATATGGTTGAAATGAATGAAATGAGAGTCATTTCTTTTGTTGCTCTAGGATTGTGAGTTTAAAAAAGAAATCAGAATTCCTGTATGTAAATCAATCATTTTAAGTACTAAGAGAAGGCAAATATTTTCTACCCTAAAAAAAAAAAATTCTTCACTTAAGAATTAATCTCTTGTGTTAACAAATATTTAGTAAAAGGTATATTTAGTAAGTTTCAACTTTTTGTACCACTAGCTATGCTGGATAATGAGACTCAAGAAATCAAAGCAGGCCCAAGCAGTGGCACAGTGGTAATGCAAGTGGGCTAACGGGGTTCACATCCTGAGACCTCCCTGAGCAGCTGGGCATGCACATCTGTGATCCATGCCCACTGAGAGTAGGAGCTGTGTCACGGTGTGAGGACCCTGTTGGGGATAGCTTTCCCTTTCTTCCTGTTTCTCTTTCATGGACTAAATATAAGCTTAAAAGAAGAAATCATAAGGCCTTTTTATAGGATCTACAGAGCTAATGAACATTGCTTAGAAAGATCTACCTTCTTTGGTTCTTTTGCATCACTTTAGTTCCAGGGATCACTGCTAAACTTCGCTGTCTGATCTCACTGAGAAGTATAGCTTCTCTTGTCTAGCTACCCTTATTTAGCCTTTCAAAACTAGCTCAAATATTATGCCATCTAAAAAAACTTGTTGACCCTACACTAATCTAAATGTCTCTCTTTTATGTTCCCACAGTATCTTAGATGCCACAGCACATACCTCATTGAATATTCACTAATTTTCTTTTTTGTTTTATTCTCTAGGCTAGGGGTTGACAAACTTTTTCTTTTTCTTCCTTCCTTCCTTCCTTCCTTCTTTCCTTTTTTTGTCTCTCTCTCTTTCTCCTTTCTTCCTTCATTCCTTCCTCCCTCCCTTCCTACTTTCCTCCTCTTCCTCCTCCTCCTTCTTCTTTCTTTTATGTATTTGTTTTTGTTTTCTTTATAAATGAGAGGGTATTTGCACTTGCCAGAGAGTAACAGAGAAAGAGGGAAAGAGAGGGAGAGGGAGAAAGCACCCTCCCCTCAGTAGCACCAGGTCATGCTGTGGTCTCTAGACCTCCATTTCTCTATCTTGTCAGGATTTGGGGCATGCAAGCACATGTGCCCTACATGTTTTTCAAGCCACTGAAGCCAGGAATCAAACCACTCTGGTCATGTGATATCTGGCTTCCTTAAAACTTGGCTATGGATGAGTCCCAGTGAACTTTTTCTACGAAGGGCAATCAGTAGCACCAGGTCATGCTGTGGTCTCTAGACCTCCATTTCTCTATCTTGTCAGGATTTGGGGCATGCAAGCACATGTGCCCTACATGTTTTTCAAGCCACTGAAGCCAGGAATCAAACCACTCTGGTCATGTGATATCTGGCTTCCTTAAAACTTGGCTATGGATGAGTCCCAGTGAACTTTTTCTACGAAGGGCAAGATAGAAAGAAAAAATATTTAGACTTTGTGGTCAGATAGTCTTTGTCACAACTACTCTGTTCTGATGTTGTAGCATTAAAGAAGCTACAGACAAGACATACATCATTGAGCATGGATGTAACTTGATTAAACTACAAAAACAAGTGGCCAGCAGGATTTGGCCTGTTGACTGTAGTTTGATGACCTCAGTTCTAGATTTAAAAGTTGACAAATGACATATGAGACATCCGATTTTGTATTTCTTGTACCAAGCACATTTTCTGGAACATAGAATATGCTCAATAATTCTTTATCAAATGAATAAATGAGTAGTAGGAGAGAAAAATCTTATATTTACAATATAACGTGCTTCAAGGTATGATTGAAATATACATGAGTACTCTGAGACTCTTGATAAGGAGAATCAGACTGTTGTTCTTGTTTCCGAAAATGGATTCTGGAATCATACTTCAATCCCAGCTCTGCCACTTCTTAGTTGTGTAAACCTGACAAGTTATTTAGCCTCCCGTCACGTGAAATAGAAATAATAATACCACCTGTTAATGCTATAGAGAAGACTAAATACTGAAATATAATTAAAGTTCTTAAAATGCTTGGCATATAGTAAGGGCTATACACAGTGTCATCTTTTATTACAGTTTTCAAGATTACTATTACTATCATGGGAGAGTAGGGGAAAGCTTTTCAGAGACTGCTAAAATTGAGCTGATGTTTGGTGAATGAAAATAAGTTAGCTTCCTTGAGGAGATGATTCTTCTGATTACTGGAGTATCCTACTCATTTCAGTTGAAACCTTACTTACTGTTAAATTCTAACCATTCCTTTCTCACCTCTGTTCTTTACAACAATAGTTCTCAAGCTTGGTTGCACATTGAAATCTCCTAGAGATCTTTAAAAAAGAATCCTGATCCTCAGGCCACTTGCATGAGATATTCTGGTTTATTTGGTCTAGAGTGAGTTCTGGTCATCAAGGTTTTTTTCCAAGAGGTTTTTGGATTATGCACATGTGCTTGCTGGAAAGAGAGAGAGGGAGGGAGACAGTGAGAGGGAAAGTGAGAAATCATCCCCAAGGTGGGGGTAGGGGGAATGGCCATGCTGCAATCCCTCCTCAATTCTCCTCCCAGGATCTTGGGCACGCACACACCCAGTAAGAGTTTCAAGCCACCAAGTTGGGGACTCAAACTGCAGTCAGCTATGAGGGAATCTTGTGATGGTAACCTCCACACCACATGCTGGCTCCAGTCATCAGGTTTTTAACGCTAGTATGTAATACTAACGGACAGCCAAAGCTAAGAATCATTGCTTTATAAGAAGCCTTCCCAAATTCTCTAATTATACCTAACAATTCCCTTTTTATGTCACTATAGACTTTCATTTCTTAATCATTACATTTGTATATAATTGAATTTATTTGTGTTCTTGTCTGACTAGCATCATCTACCTAATAGATCATGAAGTAGCTGAGGGCAGAATCTGAATCTCATTTATTGCTATGATCCCCACCGTGTTTTGAAAAAAAAAAAGCGCATTTTAAATATTTAGTAAATTAAAATGACTAGAATCTTCTGGTAGGAAAAATATGTCTTATTAAAGTAGAGAAAACATCTAGCTTTTGACTGACAGTTTAATTTAGGAAGTTGCTCTTTAGAATATTCCTTTGAGCTTTCAATGTGTGTGATAATCTTTTATCAATTGAGCAATTTGGAAAATATGTCTTCAAAACTAGTTTATTATAAATATCAAGGTTAAAGTGGAGGAGTAAAATGATTGGTGAAGATTAAGAAATACTTTATTTCCAAAGAACTCCTCGGTGGCCATGAATGGTGGTGATTGCTCCAGACAGAGCAGCAATCCTTCTATACCAACACTGGGAAGAAAGATAACAATCAAGAGCACTAATATTTTTCATAAATAACAGCATCTCCTATTATTCTGTATTTTAAACTTTCAATTAAATTCCTGGTTAAATTTTAAAATTAAAGTGTCCAAAATTGTTTTAAAACACTCCTCATAATTTGTGAATTTCGCACATTTCTTTCTGTTTTTGATGCCTAATTTCAGTCTGTGACCGAAACACCTACTTTCATGATTCCATCCTTTTAAATTCCCGAGACCTGTTTTATGAACTAACATTCGGTCTAAGCTAGGAAATGTTCCATGTTACTTGAGAAAAATGTGTTTTACTCTTTTTTTTTAAAGAATTATTTTGTTTACTTTGTTTACTTATTTTGCTTATTTTAAAATTTGACCAGAGAGGACAGAGAGAGAGAGAAAGTGAGAAAGTAAGCCACCAGGTCTGAGACTCAAACCACAGTTGGCCATATGAGAATCCAGCGCCTTTAACGGCCATGCTACCTGCCAGCCCCAGTGAATTTTACTCTTATTAGGTAGACTGGTCTACAGATGTCTGTTGGTTTATAATGTTGTTCAAACATTCTATTTCCTTCTGGAACTTCCATTTAATTTATGCATTATTGAAAATAGAATATTAAAGTTTTTAGCTATTATTGTTAAATGTTTCTATTTATGCCTTTCAGTTTGTCAGCTTTTGATTTATGTAATTTGGAATTCTGACAGTAGTACATATGTTTATGATTGTTATTTCTTCTTTATTGAATAACAATTTAATCATTATGCAATTTTGTTGTGTTTCTAGAAATAATTTTTGTTTTAAATGCTGTTTTTTCTGATATAATAGTACTGTCACTCCAGTGTTTTTGGATACTATTTGCATGGTTTACCTACTTCTAGCCTTTTTCTTTCAAACTATTTGGGGTTTTTTTGCATCTAAATATGGATGGCATATGGTTGAATCATGTTTTTTAATCCATTCTTCAAATCACTGTCTTTTTATTGGAGTATTTAATCCATTTAAACCTAATGTTATTACCGATAATGTAGGCTTTAAATCTGCCATTTTGCTACTCATTTTTCATGTATCTTAGGTGTTTTATGTTCTTCTAAGACTTCATTACTGCCCTCTTTTTTGCTAAACAGATATTTTCTAGTGTAACACTTCAATAATCTTGCATTTTAAAAAATAAATTTCTCTTTTTAGAACCTTTTTAGCGCAGCGAAATTTTGCAGAAAGTAAATGGATTTATTGTGTATTTCCTGGCCCCACAAACACACAGCCTTTCCCACTATCAAAATTCTACAGTGTCTTTCACAGTTTGATAACTCATTTCTTTTTAGTACTGAATAATATTTGATTGTGTGGATGTACTATAATTTATATATTCACTAACCTACTCAAAGACATCTTGGTTACTTCAAAGTTTCAGCAGTTATGAATAAAGCAGTTTTACATATTCATATGCAGATATTTATGTGAACATTGGTTTTCAACTTCTTTGGGTAAATACTGAGATTTATTGGAATTTACTTTGGGTAAATCTCAGTATTTACGGTTTTATTATACTTCTACTTTTTTTTTCATTCATTGTTCATTTTCAGATTAATTCTACACTTTACATAATTTCCCCATCATTA